TAACCTTTCTGTGGTAAAATTTATGGTAAAGTTATTGGTTGTACAGACCATGAAAGTGTACTTCAAATTTGAGATGCCCACACTCAAGGAGTACAGCTACAATATCTTTCTTAAAAATAACAGTTGAAAGTTAGGACAGCTCTCACAATGTAGTAACGAAACTTTTTCTCCAAACTGTTTTGCTTGCGGCGATAGAAAGCTATTATTGTAAAGGTATTTTGTTTATTTTGGTGTGAAGGAGGTTTTTTTTTTTGCGCGGGGACGTATCGCCAAGGCTACCGGACTGTGAACAAATTAAATACACTACTACTCATTAAAGAGCTATCTTTAGAACACAGTTGTATTAATAGAGTGCAGTGGAGGGGGAAACCTTTTTTTTTAGTTCAATGAAACGGCAGAAACTTAAATTATTTTATTACTACAACAAGTATCGGTTAAAAAATTCCATAATAAAGCGAAATATATATATAATAAATTGACTTGGCTGACTCCCCGGGGCAAACTACCGGGCCAGCTGACAACCTTGCATGCGGTCTTCGCCGAGCGGATATACGGCTGAGATGCCCACAGACTATGCTGTGGCCTTATGTTGATGTAATGAGCTAAGAACTGGACAGTGAACAAAAGAGTATTATATTAAAAATAACGATACGATTTGCCTGACATTCAAGCGGCTAGTCTTAAGAAGGAAAGAAACCTGCTGAAGACTGAGATACAATGGAAATCCGAGATGAAGTAAGAAAGTTCTTTGATTCGTTGACTGATTATGTTGTACGCTGAATTTGTTTTGTCTCTGATTCTTCATTTGTTGCTTTTGTTATTCTTGAATTACATCAGAAAATGTCAGCCGTGTTAGTCAGTTACCCGAAATCCTTACTTCGCTCTAATTATTGTTGTACTGAATTTACTGTTTAAACTCAATATTTGTGTGCTCCGTGACAACAAACATGCAGTGCCCTGTTTCAGGCAGTTAAACTGGCGAAAACTAGCAGTAGAGAGAGAGAGAGAGCAAGTTAATCAGAATGCTTATCACCTTAGAAATTAGAAGACAGCTAATGACAAATGTTGAAAATCTAGAATGTACATGTTTGATCAGTATTCTCTGCTGTACTGATACGACATTACCAATGAACGGTCGCAACTGCATTATTTTAATTTGTTTCTCATCAACTAGAGATGTTAACTAAAGTATGCCGATCGCTTAGACTTCGGTTTTAGAGCGATCTTAGTGATATATTACATTTTTACCTGGCACCACAATCTTATCCACAATCGCATTTATATGCGAGTTTCGGCTACCAACAAGAATCTTATCTTATGCCGTTCTATTGCATATTTTTACTGCCTCATGTTTTATATTACCATTACACTCTTACTTTAACAATATCCTAATTAAGATACTAAATGAATGAAGTGATCTATATTTCCAGAACTTAGGCTACTTTATTCTTTTTGTGCATGGTACCCTCGAAATGAAAAGTGACGCCTGAAGCGTATAAGATGTTTTCAATCAACCCTTTGTTCACACGGTCATCAACTCGGGCGGAAACAGCTTAAAAATGTAAATTAGTTCTGAAAAACGCACTTGGGAATAACTAATAAAGAGTATTGCATTGCATTGTATTGTACAGCTTCAAACATCAAACAATTAAAGTAGCTATCAAAATCAGAATTCGCAATTATCTAAAAGAAGCTTCTGAAGCTCTACGTAAGACACTTCTATTAGAATGTTGGCAATATTTTCGCTAGTGTCTCATTGTCAAACTGACTGTTGACGCTCTATATCCAAGTTGATTGGCAGTAGCATCCGTCATGGGCGCGGTTGGCTGCCATAGACCAATATGGCTCCTGCCAATATACAATAGAGACCTTTAGATCCACCTTTACCGCAAACGTCTAACTGCGATTTGAGGTTAGACGTTTGCCGTTCGTTGTTCAGACGTATAGTCGATTTAGATTGGAGTAAATTGGAGCGAATGGGAATCATCCTGTCAGTGCATTGGAAATTGTGAAAATAACGCCAAAAGTAGAGAAATGAAGGATCAGTGCCTTTCTACAAACAACAACAAAAGGCTAGGTAATCACTAATTATAACATAGCGCGCGCTAGTCCTACCTAAATCCTAATGAGCCATCATTTTTTTTTTTCAATAATAATTTCGATTCACAAAACACAATTACTTCATACATTACTTACAATGCAGGTTACTTACGCTGGCAAAACATTACTGAATACACATTCTTTTAGAATACAGTTGTTTGCATTACGGGCTACTTACGTATACACTACTAACAATGCAATTCTCTACGTTACATTACTTGTTGGACATACAGTTACAATACATGTACCTACAATACGTTATAACAAATACTTACATTACTTATAGTACAATATTGCAGTTACAATAAAACTCTCAACATGTCCTCCAATATGATCGAAAAGATGTCCTTACTGCCTAAAAAAAGATTATTTACAGCTAATATAAGGTTATCGTTTTAGAAATGAATCGTATACGTAGGTCGTATTATTTTTATTTTTGTTATTATTGTCGTTTTTTTTTGTGAGGGAGGAATATGCTATATATTGACTTTGAGGGGAGAGGAGTATTCCTCAATAAAACATTTCATTAAGACAAATTTTCAAGATTGTATTCAATGAGTAGCTTACTGATTAACTCTTGCATGGAGATGGCCAGGCTATTTAACTTGCTTGAATAAATATAATGGCGCATAAATAAAGTCGTGTAGTTGAATTTCCGTATTATTGTGGTGTCGTGGGAGCTTGCAGTGACACCGAACAGGGTAGGTGAAATTCACTTGGTTGAACCAATTCAAAACCTTTTGGGTGAACAATTTGGTAAACGTACATTCGATAAAAGAGTGCTCAATTGACTCTATCTCCGCAGTATAGACATTCATCGTCCGCTTTAATACCAAATCTGAGCAGTACTGAGCTCTTTCTTAGTTACTATCGTTCTATGGATTAATTTAAATTGAAATTCTTTTAGTTTAGTTTCCATGCAAATGTTTTTTTTTTTAGCGATTTAAAGATCTTAGTCCACACGTCCTTCTTTAATGAGAGTTTTTTGCTCCAACGTTTAGGGCCCGTCTGTTCTTGGTGTGAGTCTTAACGATAAGCAAATTATAGAAGTCCGTTGACTTAGCCTTGTGCAGATTAATTTGGATCGATTCGTTCAGGGAAAAGATATTAACATTTTGGGTAAAGAATGATTTGTTGATGATGTCGGAGCATTTGGCTAGAGATTATAAGCGTAGCGCTAACAACTTGATAATACTGTAAAAAATTGGATTCACAGGAATATTTATCACGGAACTCGTGGAATGTTAAAAAATTGCCACTTTCATTCAATAGGTCATTAATAAATAGAATATCCTTTTTAAACCATTCACTTAGGAAGATGGGTTTCCCGTCCACCAATGTATCTTAGTTATTAAACAATACTAACTCCTGCTTTTGATCGTAGGAGTAAAGAGTTTTTAATTCACTGAAGAAGTCAAGTATCTTCTTGTAGGAGAGCAGGAGGTCGTCAAAGTAATCCGAGTCGTAGTTGCACCTTCGTAGAAAGTTTAACCCTCCCTTTCTTCTGAAATAATGTTTTGCATTAATACACCTATTACTATTATCCGAAGTCCGCAACAGTCTTGGGATCCCGGCGAGTTTTAGGGCTCTCAAATAACATACGTCAGAGCAACGTGCCTAGAGGAATCAAAGTCTCGGGACATATTTTTCATATAATATTAAGGATAATAACGAGCTTAACTTCGACAAAAAGATCCAAAAGTTGCAAACTAAGCTGGATATGTGGAGTTCATGAGATTTGACGATATTTGGAAGAGCAATGTTGAATGGCAGTGAGGCTGGAGGTGACCTTGTTTTGATACAGACCTCACTACTTTTGTTGGGTGCTAACGAGATGCATTTACATGACAAATGCAGAGAGGTCTGTAACAAAGCAAGGTCACCTCCAGCCTCGCTGCCATTCAAAGGCCAGGTCACTGAGCTGATTTATTTACTTGTGGTAGCATGACCAAGTATTATTAAACTTAAACTTAAACTTAAACTCAAACTTAAACTGAGCAGACAACTGTAAGATGGTCAATTACCTTTGTAAGATACGCCCGCCTGGTAGTTGCATTCGTCATCTTGGCCATTCTATGTTTCGAAAGGGATTACATAAATCAATCATTATACCACGTGATCATATGACTCATGAAGTTTGAGTGTCTCGGGCCCAACAATCACAAAGTCCTTACTAATTCAATTTTACAAGATATTTGCAGATCGTAGCTAGCAACATTTATGTTTTTATCAAAATAGAAGAGGGTTAATTATCATTTTGACCTGCTTGCATTTATTCCGGCCGCGTTTGCTGCTTACTCTGATGGACGTAAAAGCTCTTGATAGAGGCTTGTTGCAACAAACTGGATTAAAGAGCTGTACCGACTTGTCACGTCAAATAAATTAATTTATAAAACACTTTTGGAAGCAGATGTCCAGAATGTAAAGGGATATTTTAGTTTCAGAATATTCAAACGGTGAAAACCATGTCATGTGTTTTGCACGTCCAACAGGAAGAATCTCAGATGAAGAGGAAGGAAGGCTCAAGCCTGGCTTACTGTATAGATGATACCCCGCCATGGTACCTCAACGTTGTGCTGGGATTCCAGGTACCATAATCTTTATCCTCTCCTGTTCTCATGGTATAATCAATTCGTCTTTGCAACTTAATTTGTCTCCTTGCCTTCTAGCATTACTTGACGATGTTCGGCTCAACACTGGCCATCCCTTTCGTTTTAGCCAAGCCCATGTGTTACGATCAGAATCCACTGGCTACTAGTGAGATTATTGGCACCATATTTTTTGTGTCTGGAGTTTGTACTTTATTGCAAACCATTTTTGGAAACAGGTAAAATACAGCATAGTTCGTTTACTTTCTATCAGTTTTTGCGATATGACACCATTGAACTCCGCCAGATCATGTGTGTTTGCGGAACGAGCCATGGTAGGAGAGTATTAGTAAACAAAAACGGTACAAACTGATCTTTAGGACAGAACCTTACAACAAAAAGGCGAGTAATTAACGCTGCACTCATTAATACGAGGTCATACAAGTGCAGCGAGTTAGGGAAGGGAAAACTGGGATGTTTATGACACTAGCTTTAAAGCTTGAAAAAATGTTAATTGCGAACTGTACGATTGGAAATTATTTGAAGTTCAAGTCCTCATACACATCTCGCAATTTTCTTTTCTTACGGAAAACAATCGTTAAGTAGCCGTATAATCGCAAACAAGTTCAGCTCTGTAACTCTGCAGTATTTTCCTTTTTTCAGGCTTCCCATCGTTCAAGGCGGCACGTTCTCCTTTCTTACCCCTACTATAGCTATTCTCAGTCTCCCTCGGTGGACATGCCCCTCTGCTTCACCCACAGGTGAATAACATATAACCTTTAGTGACTGGTCCCAAGAAAGCCTTCATTAACGACAGATAAAAGCAACTAGTTACTCTCGGGACAAGTTATTGCGTCCTCTGTTTTATAGCAACAAGAAATAATCTGAATAATAGACTCCTGGCTGTAAAAAAACAAACACTGGTAGTAGAGATAAAAATAAAAGAGAGTTTGTTACAACCAAACTATTTTCAATTCCTCAGTCCCCAGGCTCAAGATAAATATGAATTTAGTTTGCTCGTCCGGCATAAAATCCGATTAATGTTTGATTATAACAACAGCAATAAGTGACGTTGGTAAAGTTTAAACTATTTCCAAAATATATCAAATTTAAAAGTTCACCGAAGCGATCAAATAACATTCTGCATATAATCATTTGTCATTTAGGTGATAATCTCTTGGGTTAGATTAATATGCGAAAATAAAATAAGATAAAACGGTGCTATACAAAATTGGCCATAAATGTGCCTGTTTTTTGAGGCCAAGAAGGATAGAGAGAAAGTAGTATAATGATATTTTCATTAGTAAATGTTTTTTTTTCTGTCCAACTTTAAAGGCCTAAACAATTTTACTACCATCGCATCATTCGTCAACAACACCACTGCATCTCCCATTGATTACACCGACATATGGAAACCGCGGATGAGGGAGGTAAGTATACATTGTCCATAATCAGACAGCGTTATTCCAGTGCAGATAAATGAATTTTTTATTTGTGTTTGCAGATCCAAGGAGCTATCATGGTGGCCGCTCTGTTTCAAATTGTGATTGGCTTCTCTGGTTTGGTCGGGTTTCTGCTTCGTTTCATTGGACCGCTGACCATTGCTCCCACTGTGACGCTGGTTGGACTCTCATTGTTTCAAGCAGCTGCATATTTCTCAGGTACAAACCCTGGACTCTTCACAAACTGTCACTTTATTTTAAAACTTTTAAGCATGGAGTAACAAAATAAAACTTATCAAGATTGCCAGGACGTCAAGTAAGAAATGAAATAAGGGATAATTACCGTCACATGGGTCTTATATGCGTCTTCTTTCTTCCAATTACAAATTGATAAGACAGACACGTAGCTGACAACAACAAATACAAAATGAAATTTCAGTTCTATAGTCATGTTCTTTAAACAATGAGATCGAAGGTCCATTATTTTTGCATGTTAAACACATACTTACATTCAATACCAGAATGTCATCCACAGCTGTTGGTCTTTGTCGTTTAATGAAGGGTTAGTTAGCTCGCTTTAGAAGCTTTATGACAAAACAAATTATCGTGTTTGCAGGTATCCACTGGGGAATTTCCGCGATGTAAGTACGGACGGATTAATATAAGGCTAGCTATACAATAACACCAGCCAGTCCTTCAGCAAACATGCCATGTATTTATGTACGTTTTACCCCACTTCTTGTAGCGAGAAATGGTGTTTCTCTCAGTAGATCTTTGAAAGGAGATGTGACTTTATAAGAAGTCTAAAACAGACTTTTGGTAGTATGCATAAACGTTGTGCGCTAAAAGAGAAAACCTGAGTGAATATATTTTAAGGTAGGCTCACTACACAAAATTATTTTCATCATAGTGATTGAACGGACCAGTTTTGGAGATAACTGCTTACAAAATAAGTTGACCTACATCAGCCTACAAATCTCTCGAACCTTTTCTAAGTATCTATGGGACTATTATTTTAGCGATCCTTTATTTCTTCTGACATAACGATCATTTAAGTTTAGTGTGACCGCTTGTCAGTTGATTGGTGTTTACTTTACTTACTGTTTGTATTTGCTTATTTCCTTCAGGACCATGGTAGTTATTACAATCTTCTCTCAGTACCTGAAGCAAGTCAAAGTACCTTTGCCTGCTTATTCAAGACAGAGAGGGATGCACTTGACCAGATTTCCCTTGTTTAGATTATTTCCGGTTAGTTGAGTGCATGGGGACTGGGATGTGTTCAAACGACCTTACAACAGGCTCTCGGTCAGTAGGGACGATCGAAAAAGTGGGCGGCCGACGAGCGGCGTCCGGGAGAGGAGATTTTCGATCGTCCCCACTAACCGAGAGCCTGGAGCCGGCTATTACAACCCAACATGCATGATTTGTGATCACAAGAAGGTCTCAGAGTACGCTCGCTTGATACTAAGGAATGGAGAACAGAACAATTCCAACCAGTTACTAGGAATAGAAATCTTACGCCTAGGAAAACCTTTGTTTTAGATTGTTTGTTCTTACCGAATTTTTTTTAAAAAATAGAATTTTTATATTTGAATGAAACGTCTCTGTTTATTAGATCCTGCTCGGAGTGGTTTTCGCCTGGATTATTTGTGCTACTGTGACTGCAGCCGGCGGATTTACTGACAATAAGAACAGCACACAGTACCGCGCCAGAACAGATGCAAGAATATTTGTGCTGACTGAGGCTGAGTGGTTCAGATTTCCATATCCAGGTAGGAAAGATTTTAAGACAAGGGAAGGACCGTAGAAAATATCTCTGGATTAGTTATAAGCTGTTCAGTTTCGATCGTCAGCCTAAGATTGTCAAAGCACTGAATCGATCCGCACACCAGCGAGTCTGATTACTCTGGAAAGATTTGTCCGTTCTTTTTTCATTTAAAAATTTTCTAGTAACTGTATGGCGTAGTTTATGTCATCGTGGAATTTCTCTGCTACCTTGTCACATATAGCGTAATGTCTGTAGGGATGTTTACCAGGTGTTTAGGAACTGTCGACAGTGAATCCGTACTGGGTTTGACATCCTGGAGTTTCTCTTCCGTCCATGTTTTTTTTTTGTACGTAGTAATACACGGAGCACCTGCATCAAGTGTCAAAATAGTCTACAGGAAAGAAGAGCTCGTTAGCTATTATTCTGTATACTACTTAAACTTGTTTCCACTTTAGGTCAGTGGGGCAGGCCCACAGTGAGTGCCGCTGGCGTGTTTGGAATGCTGGCGGGAGTATTGGCATCTATGATAGAGTCAATTGGTGACTACTACGCATGTGCGCGACTGTCGGGAGCTCCGCCGCCTCCAAAACATGCCATAAACAGAGGCATTGGAATGGAAGGTATAGGCTGCCTTCTTGCTGGGGCCTGGGGCAGTGGAAATGGGACTACTTCTTACAGTGAGAACATAGGAGCAATTGGAATCACAAAGGTATGTCACAAAAATTTACTCAGTGTAACATACATTCCATCTACCAGTGCGCCAGTCGCGGAATAACCGCAATGAAATCATTGTTTTACTTAAAGTCGAGTTTTGAATTGATTTACCAAGTTGCGCGTTTATACCATTTATTAACACAGTCTTCACACACAGGTTGGAAGTCGTCGTGTCGTGCAGTATGGCGCTGTAATAATGATGTTTCTTGGCATACTGGGCAAGTTTGGCGCCCTTTTCACCACTATCCCAGACCCTATAGTTGGCGGCGTATTCATGGTGATGTTTGGCATGATTACTGCTGTTGGTATTTCCAATCTTCAGTTTGTTGACCTGAATTCTTCAAGAAATCTCTTTATCCTTGGTTTCTCACTGGTGTTTGGCATGGCGCTCCCGTATTGGCTGTCTCAAGAGCAGAACAAGAACGTCATACAAACAGGTTTACTTCAGAGATTATCGTAGTTTGCTATGTCAATAACTTTACATGCAGGGTTTCCAATAGTTATGATGTCTTGGATAAGATTTCCAAACGTACTGTTGTTAAACGTTGAATGGAGCTATGTAAATCCGTGTACATTTCATCATATTCAAAAGACCTCAAACGTGTTTGCTTTTTATTTCGAGCCTCCAAGATGGTGACCAGCGTTATTGTCACTGACCGTCATGCGCAGTATCCCAGAGAGCAAAATATTGATCAGTGAACTTCACAAATGCAACTGATTTGAATTTTGTCTTTCATTCTTCAACTCTTCCACAGGTGAGCCCGAGATTGACCAGATCATCACAGTGTTATTGCGAACCAATATGCTGGTCGGTGGAATCGCGGGCTTTGTACTGGATAATACGATTCCCGGGTCACGTGAGGAACGAGGCATGGTTGTGTGGAACAGCGAGATGACGGAAGTTGGCCACAGAGCTCATGTTTATGATCTTCCATTTGGTTTGAAAAAGTTGAGCTTTTACAATTTTGCTAAGTATGTTCCCTTTCTGCCATATTATGGTAACGAAGAAACTCCTGCAGTAGAATTAAGAGAGGCGAAAAAGAAGCCGAGCGGCTTTCCTGCCACTCTGTGACTTTATTTCATGCACTAATTCAGGTACGCCATGAGACTACCATGGCTTTAAGGACTGCTGGACTAAAATAAATCACTGTATAGTAGACGTTATCACCACTGTATAGACTTTTTGTTGTTCTTGAGCGCTAACACACAAAAGAACAAGACACATCACGTCGTGAAACTGTGTGAAAAAAATTCATGTTAGCCTTTATTTCAAATGGAACGAATTTAATTCAGGTACCCAGGTATCCATCCTCTTGAATCATATATTTTGCGGGTTGATGAATTTATTAAACACCTTCATATAATTTCTCGACTGACGTTCTAGTTTCTCCTTGAAACCGAATGTTGAGCAATTTCTTTAAAAAATTATACCGATATCTCGGCGCAAACTATCTTGTTTAAAAACTGTTCTTTTCGTTTGCCATTGCAAGGTTTCGTCAAGTGAATTATCTAATCTAAGAATAAAGTAGAAAGAGAAACGCATGTTTGTCATGATTCCGTTCGATATCCGATATTTCCCGCCCAATTTGTTTTCTACAATCCTATTTCACTTTCTTGGAAAATCAATATAAATAAATATATTGCTGCAAAAACAGTAGCAACCTCGTCCAATCGCCACTACATCCTTCATTACAAAAAAATAATGTTTGAGTGGCCTTAAAATCGGCCTAAGAAAGCTTGGAAAATATCCACTTCTGACTCTCCGACTTACTGCAGTCGCTCATCACCACTGCATTTCCGTCATCCTGAAGTTCTAAACATCTCCCTTGTTGCGTGTTACGAAGACCTCCCTAAGATAGAAAATCACAGTAAAGTTCCTAATTTGGAATTGGTGCACANATCGCAAACAAGTTCAGCTCTGTAACTCTGCAGTATTTTCCTTTTTTCAGGCTTCCCATCGTTCAAGGCGGCACGTTCTCCTTTCTTACCCCTACTATAGCTATTCTCAGTCTCCCTCGGTGGACATGCCCCTCTGCTTCACCCACAGGTGAATAACATATAACCTTTAGTGACTGGTCCCAAGAAAGCCTTCATTAACGACAGATAAAAGCAACTAGTTACTCTCGGGACAAGTTATTGCGTCCTCTGTTTTATAGCAACAAGAAATAATCTGAATAATAGACTCCTGGCTGTAAAAAAACAAACACTGGTAGTAGAGATAAAAATAAAAGAGAGTTTGTTACAACCAAACTATTTTCAATTCCTCAGTCCCCAGGCTCAAGATAAATATGAATTTAGTTTGCTCGTCCGGCATAAAATCCGATTAATGTTTGATTATAACAACAGCAATAAGTGACGTTGGTAAAGTTTAAACTATTTCCAAAATATATCAAATTTAAAAGTTCACCGAAGCGATCAAATAACATTCTGCATATAATCATTTGTCATTTAGGTGATAATCTCTTGGGTTAGATTAATATGCGAAAATAAAATAAGATAAAACGGTGCTATACAAAATTGGCCATAAATGTGCCTGTTTTTTGAGGCCAAGAAGGATAGAGAGAAAGTAGTATAATGATATTTTCATTAGTAAATGTTTTTTTTTCTGTCCAACTTTAAAGGCCTAAACAATTTTACTACCATCGCATCATTCGTCAACAACACCACTGCATCTCCCATTGATTACACCGACATATGGAAACCGCGGATGAGGGAGGTAAGTATACATTGTCCATAATCAGACAGCGTTATTCCAGTGCAGATAAATGAATTTTTTATTTGTGTTTGCAGATCCAAGGAGCTATCATGGTGGCCGCTCTGTTTCAAATTGTGATTGGCTTCTCTGGTTTGGTCGGGTTTCTGCTTCGTTTCATTGGACCGCTGACCATTGCTCCCACTGTGACGCTGGTTGGACTCTCATTGTTTCAAGCAGCTGCATATTTCTCAGGTACAAACCCTGGACTCTTCACAAACTGTCACTTTATTTTAAAACTTTTAAGCATGGAGTAACAAAATAAAACTTATCAAGATTGCCAGGACGTCAAGTAAGAAATGAAATAAGGGATAATTACCGTCACATGGGTCTTATATGCGTCTTCTTTCTTCCAATTACAAATTGATAAGACAGACACGTAGCTGACAACAACAAATACAAAATGAAATTTCAGTTCTATAGTCATGTTCTTTAAACAATGAGATCGAAGGTCCATTATTTTTGCATGTTAAACACATACTTACATTCAATACCAGAATGTCATCCACAGCTGTTGGTCTTTGTCGTTTAATGAAGGGTTAGTTAGCTCGCTTTAGAAGCTTTATGACAAAACAAATTATCGTGTTTGCAGGTATCCACTGGGGAATTTCCGCGATGTAAGTACGGACGGATTAATATAAGGCTAGCTATACAATAACACCAGCCAGTCCTTCAGCAAACATGCCATGTATTTATGTACGTTTTACCCCACTTCTTGTAGCGAGAAATGGTGTTTCTCTCAGTAGATCTTTGAAAGGAGATGTGACTTTATAAGAAGTCTAAAACAGACTTTTGGTAGTATGCATAAACGTTGTGCGCTAAAAGAGAAAACCTGAGTGAATATATTTTAAGGTAGGCTCACTACACAAAATTATTTTCATCATAGTGATTGAACGGACCAGTTTTGGAGATAACTGCTTACAAAATAAGTTGACCTACATCAGCCTACAAATCTCTCGAACCTTTTCTAAGTATCTATGGGACTATTATTTTAGCGATCCTTTATTTCTTCTGACATAACGATCATTTAAGTTTAGTGTGACCGCTTGTCAGTTGATTGGTGTTTACTTTACTTACTGTTTGTATTTGCTTATTTCCTTCAGGACCATGGTAGTTATTACAATCTTCTCTCAGTACCTGAAGCAAGTCAAAGTACCTTTGCCTGCTTATTCAAGACAGAGAGGGATGCACTTGACCAGATTTCCCTTGTTTAGATTATTTCCGGTTAGTTGAGTGCATGGGGACTGGGATGTGTTCAAACGACCTTACAACAGGCTCTCGGTCAGTAGGGACGATCGAAAAAGTGGGCGGCCGACGAGCGGCGTCCGGGAGAGGAGATTTTCGATCGTCCCCACTAACCGAGAGCCTGGAGCCGGCTATTACAACCCAACATGCATGATTTGTGATCACAAGAAGGTCTCAGAGTACGCTCGCTTGATACTAAGGAATGGAGAACAGAACAATTCCAACCAGTTACTAGGAATAGAAATCTTACGCCTAGGAAAACCTTTGTTTTAGATTGTTTGTTCTTACCGAATTTTTTTTAAAAAATAGAATTTTTATATTTGAATGAAACGTCTCTGTTTATTAGATCCTGCTCGGAGTGGTTTTCGCCTGGATTATTTGTGCTACTGTGACTGCAGCCGGCGGATTTACTGACAATAAGAACAGCACACAGTACCGCGCCAGAACAGATGCAAGAATATTTGTGCTGACTGAGGCTGAGTGGTTCAGATTTCCATATCCAGGTAGGAAAGATTTTAAGACAAGGGAAGGACCGTAGAAAATATCTCTGGATTAGTTATAAGCTGTTCAGTTTCGATCGTCAGCCTAAGATTGTCAAAGCACTGAATCGATCCGCACACCAGCGAGTCTGATTACTCTGGAAAGATTTGTCCGTTCTTTTTTCATTTAAAAATTTTCTAGTAACTGTATGGCGTAGTTTATGTCATCGTGGAATTTCTCTGCTACCTTGTCACATATAGCGTAATGTCTGTAGGGATGTTTACCAGGTGTTTAGGAACTGTCGACAGTGAATCCGTACTGGGTTTGACATCCTGGAGTTTCTCTTCCGTCCATGTTTTTTTTTTGTACGTAGTAATACACGGAGCACCTGCATCAAGTGTCAAAATAGTCTACAGGAAAGAAGAGCTCGTTAGCTATTATTCTGTATACTACTTAAACTTGTTTCCACTTTAGGTCAGTGGGGCAGGCCCACAGTGAGTGCCGCTGGCGTGTTTGGAATGCTGGCGGGAGTATTGGCATCTATGATAGAGTCAATTGGTGACTACTACGCATGTGCGCGACTGTCGGGAGCTCCGCCGCCTCCAAAACATGCCATAAACAGAGGCATTGGAATGGAAGGTATAGGCTGCCTTCTTGCTGGGGCCTGGGGCAGTGGAAATGGGACTACTTCTTACAGTGAGAACATAGGAGCAATTGGAATCACAAAGGTATGTCACAAAAATTTACTCAGTGTAACATACATTCCATCTACCAGTGCGCCAGTCGCGGAATAACCGCAATGAAATCATTGTTTTACTTAAAGTCGAGTTTTGAATTGATTTACCAAGTTGCGCGTTTATACCATTTATTAACACAGTCTTCACACACAGGTTGGAAGTCGTCGTGTCGTGCAGTATGGCGCTGTAATAATGATGTTTCTTGGCATACTGGGCAAGTTTGGCGCCCTTTTCACCACTATCCCAGACCCTATAGTTGGCGGCGTATTCATGGTGATGTTTGGCATGATTACTGCTGTTGGTATTTCCAATCTTCAGTTTGTTGACCTGAATTCTTCAAGAAATCTCTTTATCCTTGGTTTCTCACTGGTGTTTGGCATGGCGCTCCCGTATTGGCTGTCTCAAGAGCAGAACAAGAACGTCATACAAACAGGTTTACTTCAGAGATTATCGTAGTTTGCTATGTCAATAACTTTACATGCAGGGTTTCCAATAGTTATGATGTCTTGGATAAGATTTCCAAACGTACTGTTGTTAAACGTTGAATGGAGCTATGTAAATCCGTGTACATTTCATCATATTCAAAAGACCTCAAACGTGTTTGCTTTTTATTTCGAGCCTCCAAGATGGTGACCAGCGTTATTGTCACTGACCGTCATGCGCAGTATCCCAGAGAGCAAAATATTGATCAGTGAACTTCACAAATGCAACTGATTTGAATTTTGTCTTTCATTCTTCAACTCTTCCACAGGTGAGCCCGAGATTGACCAGATCATCACAGTGTTATTGCGAACCAATATGCTGGTCGGTGGAATCGCGGGCTTTGTACTGGATAATACGATTCCCGGGTCACGTGAGGAACGAGGCATGGTTGTGTGGAACAGCGAGATGACGGAAGTTGGCCACAGAGCTCATGTTTATGATCTTCCATTTGGTTTGAAAAAGTTGAGCTTTTACAATTTTGCTAAGTATGTTCCCTTTCTGCCATATTATGGTAACGAAGAAACTCCTGCAGTAGAATTAAGAGAGGCGAAAAAGAAGCCGAGCGGCTTTTCTGCCACTCTGTGACTTTATTTCATGCACTAATTCAGGTACGCCATGAGACTACCATGGCTTTAAGGACTGCTGGACTAAAATAAATCACTGTATAGTAGACGTTATCACCACTGTATAGACTTTTTGTTGTTCTTGAGCGCTAACACACAAAAGAACAAGACACATCACGTCGTGAAACTGTGTGAAAAAAATTCATGTTAGCCTTTATTTCAAATGGAACGAATTTAATTCAGGTACCCAGGTATCCATCCTCTTGAATCATATATTTTGCGGGTTGATGAATTTATTAAACACCTTCATATAATTTCTCGACTGACGTTCTAGTTTCTCCTTGAAACCGAATGTTGAGCAATTTCTTTAAAAAATTATACCGATATCTCGGCGCAAACTATCTTGTTTAAAAACTGTTCTTTTCGTTTGCCATTGCAAGGTTTCGTCAAGTGAATTATCTAATCTAAGAATAAAGTAGAAAGAGAAACGCATGTTTGTCATGATTCCGTTCGATATCCGATATTTCCCGCCCAATTTGTTTTCTACAATCCTATTTCACTTTCTTGGAAAATCAATATAAATAAATATATTGCTGCAAAAACAGTAGCAACCTCGTCCAATCGCCACTACATCCTTCATTACAAAAAAATAATGTTTGAGTGGCCTTAAAATCGGCCTAAGAAAGCTTGGAAAATATCCACTTCTGACTCTCCGACTTACTGCAGTCGCTCATCACCACTGCATTTCCGTCATCCTGAAGTTCTAAACATCTCCCTTGTTGCGTGTTACGAAGACCTCCCTAAGATAGAAAATCACAGTAAAGTTCCTAATTTGGAATTGGTGCACATTGCTAAACTTGAATTAAGTATTCCGCTTCTTTAAGGAATATTCGCTGTAATACATTTACCAGTGCTTCATTCCCACAACAGTGCATCATCCATCACTACTTACAGTCTATTAGTTCCATTTGTAATTTGTCAACGCGGGAACGACTGGTCGTATCATCAAAGGTTACTCGGATGATATTTTGTACAAGCATGCAGATCCGTAAGAATGAAGAAGGAAAAACACATGAGAGTATCAGTGCGATAAATTTGTGGCAATTGGCTTTACCTGTGATATTTTCCATTGTTTGCTGGTATCATCACAAGAAACAAGCATCACATTGTCAGAAGCTCCTTCCACACACACTAAATCTTCCTGTCCAGCTTTCAACTCGTCATCTTTTGTCAGGACAAAATACTACAAGAAACGTTCAACAAGATGCTTTATACTGCTAATGACGCAACCCCGTGAACAACAGTGTTGATAACTGGACTGATATGGTGATTGTTTTCCACGGGAAATGGCATGAAGTTAAGGTTACTTAGTTGATAGATATCAAAGACGTATGTCGGGATTTATGCAAACGGTGTTAATGAATATTTCACACTGTTCGCTACAACTCTCTCCAAAGTGAGCCACATAAGAATTCAAAGGAATGTCAGTTTTTTTTTACTTCAGTCTCTTACTTCCGTTGATATACTTCATTCTTCTACTTTTTTCCATTACTTGGAGAGATTTTCTCACAGCTTTATTTTTCGAGTAATAAAATCAGAGTCTGAAGCTCCCTTGGTCCTACTTGGTGCAAAGGAATGAACCTACTACTATCATCGTTTGCATAAATCCAGTCATACATAAAAGTCGCTGAACAACAGTGCGCTATAATGACAAGAAATAGAAAATCCGGCCGAAAATCCAAAAATTCCGGAAATTTCGTTCAGAATGTAAATGGCTCGACCGACCACAAGATTTCCGAAATAAAAGAAACCCGGTTGTCCAAAATTGCCCAAAATTTTCCTACCGAAATATTCGAATTGAAAATGTGACATTGCCATCTTGGAATGATGCTGGATTAGGGCGAATTTGTTCTAGGCTCTTTAGGTTAATTAGGCCGGGTTGTTGAGTAAATGGTAAACGACCAATCCGAATGTAGCTTAGCATCAGGGATTTTAACATGATTTGCTTACCGTTTGCACAAACTTTTGGAGAACCGGTTTCTCCGAGTAAATGGTAAACAACCCCTGTGAAGATCAATTCCTATTGTAATTCTAATGATGGGCCGATCGTCTTGGACACCAAATAGCAGGCACGTGGCAGGCTTGGTCTTCCCTGGCTTATTTTATACTTCAGCAGTCGACGATCTTATATAAAATAATACCTGATTTCCTCCCATGCTATGACAGGGTGAAACTCCAAGTTCAAACCCTACAGACCTGGCCATAGTATCAAGACACATTCCCGTCTGAGGATTACGAACCTGCACAGAATTAAAGAAATACATTCACGAAAGAAGGTTTGCAACAACGATTATTATCACCGAAAAAGCTTTTTTATGCTCAAAACGTGCAGAGGAAGTGATGCCACAAAACTGAAAAGCTCCCCCGAGAGCTCCTCCCTGTGGGGTGTTCCAAGATCATCTGATCTGTCTGTCTCACGGTCATGGTTTGGAATATGCGTTCGCGCGTGCATGGGAATATATAGTACGCAGCCAGAAAACACTACGGTTATTTAAAAACTACTGAGAGTGTTTGAAAAGTTCGAAAAGAGAAATATTCTTTCTTACATTTTTTGCTATCAATTAACCATTGTGTTAACTGAATGATAGTATGACACGCGACTTCTTGTGGTGACAGATTTAACAAGATATTTAGATATCACACACGACCGGAAGTTCTGTATGACATGTAACAAACACAAACAAACCTTGAAACTAGAACTTCAACAAGCAAACATCACTCTCAATAAACACGTGAACCTCAACGCTCAAATCAAAGGTTGTAAACTCAACGAAATTTCATTCATTTTTTGCTACAACTTCTTTACTATTTAACAATTAGATTATGAGCTCGAGATTTCAATGAGGTGATAGTCGATGAGGCAGAAGGTCGAAACAACTATCGACTCATAGAAATTGAGAGCGGATAATCTAATTGTTTTAGTAGATTTACTTCAAATAACGGTTTCCGACTATTTCGCGGCGTATTATTAATAAAACTATGGGCGTGAGAAAGATCACTTGGACTGAATTGTCATTTGAAATTGCAGTTTTGTGTGCGCTTATCACTTTTTTTCAATAATTTTAAGTTTTTTGAAGTCAAGAAACCGTAAATGTCCTTCTTTTAGTCTGCTCAGGAATTTAATTTGCCGTTTACATCAAGAATTTCCTCCAAAACTTTGGAAAAACGCAAAAAAGTCGCCATTTTGAAGACGACCTCCAGTCACTGCACATTAATGGCTGATAGCGTACGATCACTCAGCCAATCAGATTGTAGGATTTGCAAAATTGTAATAGTAGCGGAACTTCTGCGCGCCGAAGGTTGGCGAGCGGAGCCCCATACCTTAGAAAATTTGGTAAACCACCTATCTAAAAAAATTTGGCTGTTACGTGACTAGTACGGACGTACGTCCGTACGCCCGTACGCCAAGCCCAATACCTTGAAAAATAAGAGAATGGCACCATAACCATAGGTACATCTTTGATATTGGACATCCATGTCATGGTTAATTGACAGCTGTCAAAACAAGGTATCAGCTGACCAATATCACGTGACCATATCGCGGGCTCAGGAAAAATTCAGCGCAAATTAACCCCTGGGGCGTTGTTGACTTTTCTTCCAACATATTCCTTGCACATTCGTCTCTTGGAAAGTCCCTTATCTATTGCGAACGTAAGTTTTACCCACTTGGTTTTGCTTATTGGATATAGTTTGTTAAAATTAACTGAAAAATAGCGAAAAGAAACGCTAAACAATTACATGCTCACAATTGATCAATTTTTGAGTTTCTGAAACAGAGAAAACAAATCCTGTATTTCCTTTATGGTCAATTGCAATCAGGAGCTGCGCTTTTAGGCTTGGCTAAATCTATACATTAGAATTCTACTGATGACCCTTAAGGTCCCCAGCTTACCTCTCCGTATGCCTCGTAGTCCTCAGATGGAGTCTTTTGCTCAGGGTAAATGTTCTCCATGTACCATTTGAAGCTCTTACATTTGAGTCGCTTTCGGAGCTCTAATCGCTTTGTTAGATCTCCATGTTCTACCCCCTGTAAGTCCGGTCTCTTAATAAACACAAACTTTTTATATTCATCCATCCACACGTGAACAACACGCGCAAGGTTCACAGTTACTTCATGATAGCCACCTGGAAACTTGTATGGGAAACGCGAGCGAAATACGTGACCAACACGAGAACATGGAATTATTTCTAATTTTCCGCCACATTGCCAAATCTGAAATACATGAAACAAATTTCATTACACTCCAATACGCTTAAAGAAATTAATCGCTATAAGATGCTTCAGTAGTGGAAACCACAAGTCAAAGGGCCACAGACAACTGGACTGACGCGAAAAGTGGACATAAAATTTCTTGGGCAGCATAAAACAAGTTTGAGCAGGTCCACCAGTCAGATTGAAAGTGATTTACAAATCTGAAAGTGAAATCTTTCTTCTTCTTTTTAAGGCCGCTGGGAATGTAGTTTTGGCCAACAAAATGTATTCGGAGCAAGAGAAGAGTTGTTGTTTTACTTTGGAAACCTTAGCTTGGATCTAAGCCTTACGCTTTTCATCTGAGTGCACCTTTTCTCCCCAATTTTCAAAAGCAATGGAAATGTTTCGTCAGTTTTGCGCTGAATAAAGGAAATCTCACACGACTCAATGGTCATAGTTAAGGAACAATGGGAGATGCGAGGGGAATAGCACTCAAATTTTTACACTTAACGTTTTTATCACACTGTTTCTTTTACATTTTTAATATTCTATATGTCAATTTATAGGTCTTTAAAAATCTTGTTCTTCGTAAATGCGTCTTTCAACGCTTAAGGTACGGACGTTGTATAAAGATGTAAACAATAACCTCCATTTGGCGCGGAAATACGCTTGGATATTTGTCCGTGGACATTATCTGTTCTGAGAAACGAACAGTTTTCCGCGAGCGTAGCTCGAGGAAAACTGTGGGCACGCGAAGGTCTCATATGAGCTTTACAATCTGGTCAAAACTGGAAGGAAATGACGATCGAACATCAATGATCATCTTTCCTGTTGTAAATTCCAAACAGGTTTGAAAGAAACTAAACTGTGTATGGAACTCTAGATCTATGACTACATATATCTCACCCGAAAAGACATCTCCAGGTTTTCTCCTCCCCAAACATCCATACCTTCATCATAAGAACCGGAGTCGAAGAAGTATTGACGATCAATAGAAAACAGGCCACCTGCCATTGTGGGGGTCCTGTGGGGATAAATAATAGCCGCGTATCTTAAGGCTCGGCTCTACGCCAGCTTCGGTTTCAAGCTGTCTTTGTATAATTTCATCTACCGTGTACCTGATGCTGTTATATTCAGAAGTACTGTGTTCTCTCCGCCAGCTTTTGAAAACTCCGCGCAGTTGTGGAATGAGCAGTGATCGTAAAATACGTTACAAAACATTTTAGCGTGTTCAGGCCAAACATTGAGGGCAGTCTGTTAGCCTAAGCGCCCCCTCCCCCCTCCCTCCTCACTAAATCACTCCACTCCCCATAACTTATGTCGCGTTCGGCTGAACTACACACTAACCTGATTGGTTGACTTGAATCTTTACGTTGATTTCGAATACTTTGAGGTAATGAATGCCAGTTAAACTGCATGTCCCAGCTGAAGCCGCCTATTACTTCAGCTGGTGTTCTTGAATAAGAGAAGTCCGATGAACTGATAATGTCAATAACTGGAACAGACACGATGGTACGGTCCTGCCGGATCCTGTCAAGGAGGGGCTCTAACCAGTTCACGTTAGCTTCACAATGAGCGTCAAGGAATGTTATCACTTGAGCTCTAGCTGCATTGGCCCCTAATAGACGAGCTCTAATGAGCCCCTCTCTTTTCGATGTCCTAAGAATGCGAACCTTGGTTAACTTAGATACGTAATCATCGAGCGGCTTTTTCAGATGATCTGGGGAGGCAAAGGCAACAAATATTTATGGAAAGCGAAATTCACAAAATAATAAGAAAATAGTTTTAAAATTATGCAATTAACTACGGGTCCGATACATCAACCGGTACATCTTCCTAGCCGGGAAGCCAAGTTAAGCAGCGCGATTGTAGTCCAGTCCCTGAACTTTCCCTTCCTTGCGCGCGAGAGTAGAGTCCAGGCCCCAGCTGCAATGCCATCCACCGGATGTCGCTCTCTAGTGGATATGTGCTAACAAAACAAACCATGCTATCCACTGGATAGTGATTTACGGTGAACAACCCGCGCCAGGAGGCAGCCCAGGATAACTTGCATGCTAAGAACGAACCAATCAGAGTATGGTGTTGACGTGCGCGCTAGGATTTAAATTGCTCCTTCAAAAGATGAATTCAACATGTTCAACTACGCGACCAAGCAAACTTGTTAATTAAGGACGTTCGCGCCCAAAATGTTTTCACGCACAGATTTTTTAAAAACTTGCCGTGCAGAAAGGCAAAGATCAACGTCTGCCAAAAAGTCCAAAAAAATGGGGAGTCACCGTGTTCATATGGCGCAGTGAAGACCATTTTCGTTATTTTAAGACTATCTTAGCTTAGAACTATCAGCAACAAAAGAAGCCGGCTACATTAGAGATGTTTAGATCAGGTAAACGGTAAACTGTTAGAGAAACTTTTGCAGCTGATGTCGTGGCTTCGTTCCTTGAGGTAGAATAGGCCTTGAAAAAGAATAGATATTAGTCTTGCCCACATAAATTTGAAGAAAAATTCGATCGCACAATGGCAGAAAAGGCAAAATATTTATTACTTCTCAAGTACAGAATTTTTTTTAAAATAATGTAGAAAATCGATACAGAAAATGATCAATGGAAAGAAAAGTGTGGTGAAAGAGGGGGTCATGGACCATTTAAGAAAGTAAACTGCAGTTAAAGTTTAAGCAACCGGTGCCAAAATGTTTTGGTCGTTAGTTCTGAACCAGACCAAGATAGGTTAAGCTGTTTCGAAGGTCGTTCTGGTGTTCCTGGCTGTCAGTAATAGATGCCCATTAGTCGAGCGCGCTCTTCACATATAAGTTTTCCCCTGATTTGTTTTTTCCGGCGGAGGCGTTGGGTGGCGGAGAAGAAGGGGGGAGGGGGTGGGGAAATAGGGGATGGCGGCGTTCTACGCATGCGCTTGCAAGTTATCCTCGACAACCTCTTGTCGCGCCAGGGTTCAACCCCAAAATAGCGCGCGAGGAAGGGAGAGTTCAGGGACTAGACTACACCAGATATATAGACACAAACAATTTAAAATAATTCATCTCGGGTGAATTTGCAGGGTTTTTTGCACCAATATATCTAGCTAGGTTGGGTGAAGGTATCTCCATAACACGTAGTTTTAAATCATCGTTCAGCTCTGCTTTTCATGGTGGTGCAGTGTAACCTGAGTGTGACCGTCGTGTATCAAACATACAATGTGCACCGCTTACCAAATGTACTGAAGTCGTCAATAAGTATAATCTCGTACAGAAGAGCTGGCGGCGAGCGGTGTAACACGCTGTGAACTGTACGTAACAGGGTCGACCAAGCTTCATTATGAAAACAAATCACAACACTGGTCGTAGGCAACTCGGAGACTGGGTACGACTTACTCTCACACCTGTTCAGACGTAATGCAACAATGTTTTCATGATGTAGCTATGATAAGTTCTTGTAACATAAAACATTCTGCTTAGCCTCTGTTACTATAAATAGTCTTCAAGGAAGCGGGTTTTTTTTCTTACCGCTACCATTCCAAAATAGCATGAATCAATTACTGACTAAAAATACAGTTGGTTCGTGTTAAACATGTTGCCTTTTCATTCGGTTTGTGAGCAGGCGAAGAATATGCGCGGATAGACGACATGGCTGGGCAAATAAGGGCGGCATAAGGGGGTTCAAGTGATGTAACAACATCAAGGATGGCTATTTCTGCTAGCGCTGTTTTGATCTTGGTTGAAATTTTCTATTTTCCAGCAGCGATCACAAGGAATAAGTCGTCTCCTTTGGAAAGATATAGACTCGAAGATTATTTCAGGCTTTGTGAAAACGATAAATAAGTGCCAAAATATCACCGAGCGTGCAATATATATGTACAGCAGTGATATTTAATAGTCTTAATTAATGGAACAAATTGCTTAAAATAGCTCAACTGTTTTCACTACTTACCCAGAACTCCGTGTGTCTGGTATAGATCGCTCGAGGGAAATCTTCGCACTCGCATATTCATTAAAAGCATATTTATTGTAGCCATCTTTCTCATTGGGTTTTTCCTTAGCTGATACAACCACGGGTTTGCCGTCTTCACCAGGACCGTTCGGGTCATGCGGAATTATTATCCAGCCAATATTCGTGTCTGCTCTCTCTTTCTTGGGATCATTCGGCTCAACGGACCTTACCACCGAAATAAGTTTTTTCTTCAGTAGTTTGGGTTTTTTCTTTCTTGTTTCAAGTCTTGTGTTTTTGTTGAACTGTCCTTTTATCAGCGAATCCTTTTCTTGTACAATAACTTGCGTGTCCCGACTAGACTTGTGTTGAAATATCTGGTTGTTTATGATATCAAATTCCTCTCCTTCAGAAATTCCACGTGGCGATAATTTCTTTGCTTTGTTTGTATCCTCTGATTGTCGCTCAAATCTAAGCGAAGCATTTTTATTTCCCCGTCTAAGACTGTGAGCAACTTTCAACTCATTTGAAGCGATATTTACTTGATATGAAACAAGTATCACAGTATTCAACGCAAACCAAAATATGGATGTCAGCAAAGCAACAATGATGATCTGCCTCGGTCTATGAACCTGGCATACACGTATCCAAGCCATTACAAAATTCTAACGACGGCTAAAGCCTCCTAAGGATTAAATACTGTATCTTCCTTAAGTATTTCACGTGTCCAAGGTTAATTTCTGCCGTATTGTCTCTGTTATATTTTAGGCCTACCAGTGTCATACGCAGTTTAGTTGTAGACATCCAGTGATGGTGTAAATCTTCAGTGTGAAGTGATTTCCTATTTTGGAGCACATCACCCTTAAAAACACTTCTTGAATCCACGGACATTGTTTGTCAACCGAAATAGCTTCAACGACCAACAACATCCCATCACGACCAACATCATGTTTTGTCAGTGGGATTTGGTATATTGACATAGTTTGTCTTGTGTTACTCTGAGCACGCGTGTAGAATGACATGTATTGTATCAAAGAGCCATTAACAAGCTTTTCAGAGTTCATTCCTTCTCACATTTAGTCAGCTGGGTACGGGCCTTTTGTTCCGGTGTCTGATTCAACCAACAAAAGTAAACACTTCGCATGAACAACTACTCTGAATTTGCATACGCGCAAGTTTATTGAGGACTTTGCAATTCCGTTCAAGATAATCGGATGTTCGATGTTGTGAAAAACTAACGATTTTATCAACAAAAATTTGAGATAAAGTGTATTGTATTCCAGGTCACGGTTATTACTAGACTTTGACTAGTTCACAAAGTTTATGACAATATTTTCACATCCCTGTTTTAAAGTGTGTCAAATATAAGCTCTGGTTGACAAAATTGTAATTTTTCGTCGGCTTAAGGACCAGTACAAAGACGTACAAAAAAGAATGAAGTTTATTTCTCCCGTCAGCTCAGAGCAGATGTCAGCCGGGGTTATGAGTGCGGAAGTTATATCAGTGAGCATGGTGGATCCAGCTTCTTCCTTTGTATACAACCGAGGAATCTGTAACCCATAATTAACGACGGCTCTTCTCTTTTGCGCGACTGACGACGAGAATTGCCTTGGGAAATTCCATTTGCATTGAACATATGCGCGCAATCAAACCAGAAACAGGACTTTTGCTTATTCCTTTTTGATTATGCCCAAAGCGTCAGTCTTTCGGTCACCACCTGACTGAAAAGAGGAACGGATTGTGGAAAAGCCTGTGAAGAGAATAACAACTTTAAAGAAAGGCTGATAGTAAGAGTGTGTAGTGAATGGCATGTTATAACAGAGCTCATAAGCTAACGGGTTCTTCTCTGTTTATTGCGTCATTCTCAGACAACTCTGTTTGTGTGGCATGAACAGTTTCTTGGTAGATGTTCGGAGACAATGTTTCTTTGTGGCATTTAAACAAGCCAGAAAACCAATTGCTACTACAGGCTAAGTTTACAAAGAGGTTTGACGTTTCCGCCTTTAAAGCGTTCTCTAATCCACACAAGTTAACACACACATCTCCAGTTCGTAGACCGTAACCACTTGGTGAAGTCTCAAGAGTATAGAATGTAAAGCGAACACTTACGAAACGTTGAAATATCTGCCCGAGTTTTTGTAGAAGACGACGAGGAAAGGAAATCTAAACGACAAGTTGAGGAACCCGTTACGTAAAATTAAAATAGTTTATAATATAAATGAACATTTGAAAATCCTTTAAGTCCTAAAATTCAGCTGCAGCTCGATAGGCCGGAACGTTGGAGGGCACGCCATAAAGTTCTATTCAGAAGTGGTAGCACGGGACGTGCTGGCATGGAGAAACATTGTTTTAGTTGAATAAAACAGCTGGGCTTGGAGCGACCCCCTGTACTCCCGTGCCGCCAAAAGTTCACGTCTCTTCTTCTCCTTTGATAAGCTTATGTTGAAGCTGACATCACCAAGTGGTCTTATTCCTTAGATCACCAGTCCAGGCCGGACTACTCCGGTGCTTAGCTCTTTGACTATGCGCAGACCGGCTGCGCACTAGTCCATGTCTTCTGTTTTGGAGAATTCCCAGACTTGCGCCAGTCTTCCATCGCACGCGCGGACCTTTGCATGCTCAGTATTTTGGGAGCCTCGGTCGATACACACATCACGACGAGGATGATAGAGTTTCGAGTTCTGAAAAAGCAAAAAGAAAGTGCTATGTAGGACAATAACATCAACAACGTTTATTTGTAACTCATTGTTACAAACAAATGTACATCCACGTGCAAGTGATTTGCAGTTATTGTAGCTTTAGTTTACCTTAGCAATTCAGCGGCGCGTATAGATGCTCTAGATCGGTAACATATTTACGACCTGTTAATTTTTTCAGTTGTCGTATATAACGACTAGTTATATAAGGGATTTTATAACGGGTGATACGTACCTTGTATACCCACTTCTGATTCTGTTGGAGTCCATCACATTCTCTCAAGTACAAATCATATCCGTTATAATCCAAACAGTTATCCTCTGATTTCAGTTCTCCTTTACTCGTCAAAACAAAATACTGAAGAAGAAAACAAAAAAGATACGAAGATAAGGTTTGGGCTTTTTGGGGTACTAACTTTAGCAGAAAGTTACGCACCCTAGATAAGATGCCAATCCATCACAGATTAACCCCACCCCTCCCTCTCTCCTCTCCTCAGAATTTTGTCAGGTCGAAACAGTTAGTCAGTACTTATTCCATGTCCCCGAGAAGGCTTTATATGCATTTACAATATAGATAGGACCCTGCGCGCGCTCTGATTGGTCAAAAACCCATGTTTTATCAGAGTATAAAATATAGAAAAAGCTTGTTTTATTGTTTTTCGCCACGTTACCTCTAGTCAACACTTTTGTTAGAGATGGCGAAAAACATTTTCTTTGAAGAATTTTTGATGGAGTTCTCTGCGAAGCACTGGAAAGTTTTGAAGGCGAGACATGTAGCACTTTGGTAGTAATAAATTAGTGAAACAATCTCAGATAGTGCAGACTGCAATTGATAGCTCTGGCACGGTAGTCCCAAAAGTACTCACCCCTGCTCGGTTCAGTTCCGGTTTGTATCTACCTTGGTAGTCTGCTAGGGCTTTTCCATTTAGCAGTGAGTACGTTTCAAGGTTGTATTTTCATTAAAGGCCCGAAAATTACGTACAATTACTGTTTGTCACGACAGCTTTTAAATTTTACTCCGGTGTTTTACGATGATTTTCGCCGTTCATTTTAAATTCAATATACGTTGAACAAACGTGACAATTCAGCTCTTCGCGCCAACTTTGTAACTTGATACTTTTGTTTTCCTCCTAAAGGTATGTAACATGAAACTCTTGTTTTCTCCAAAACACAGGGAAGATGAGCTTGTTTGGGGAGATACATTAAAGAAAGTTAAATATTTGACGAAGAAATGGAAGAAAAAAATTTTGTTTCCTCAAAACGCAAATTTTCTTATCACNAATAGAGTTTGTGTTGATCAAGTGCTGTGATGTCTACAGTAATCAATGAATCATCAAAGATTGCTTTGGAATATGCACTGCGTTGCGACTGTAGTATTAAGAAACAGTTAAATTTTAAAAGCGCGGTTATAAGATCTAACAGATCTTCTTGTTTAATTATCAGATAGTCACGGAATACCACTTTCTTTTTCTGTTGCCACCTTTGTTGTCAACAATAAAACAATTCAAAATTAACACACAACAACATCGATTGATACCACTGGGAAGCGTTTCAATGAGAAGTATTCAAGGTAAACTGTGCTACTTGGCTGATATTATCCTGCATCAATGAACAAGTCTTCTCAAAGACTGATTAAATTAATTTACGCTTTCAATAGGTGCCACGGAGTCTGCAGCAATATTTGAGTACTTTCCTGGTTTCTTCTGTCACAAATTTACAATTTGCAGAATATTAAAGCCACTAACTCGCGAACTTTTTGGTCTCTCTTATAGACGCAGTTAAGGCAAGAAATAAATAAGCCGCTAATGGGAAACTTCACATTTTCCTTCTTTATTTAAACCCTGACAAACATATACTGTAGTTTGAAAACGGCAGATGATATTTGTTGAACCGACCTGTGGGTAATTCTAAAAGATACGTTCAACTTTTGCACTAAAAAGGGACAAGTGGCGCTACCTAGTACCTGACATTACATGACATAAAAAAACCGCGTGAAACATAGTATGTAACACTTACGATGCTAGAACGCATTCCTCTTACATGTTGGGTTCTACCATAAGGAAAATTACTAAACGTTTGCGTGTT